AAAAAAGAAAGAAAGAAGGAAGAAGGAAGGAAGGAAGGAAGGAAGGAAGGAAGGAAGGAAGGAAGGAAGGAAGGAAGAAAGAAAGAAAGAAAGAAAGAAAGAAAGAAAGAAAGAAAGAAAGAAAGAAAGAAAGAAAGGGTGTCCTCTGGGCCTGTAGTCATAGTGCCTTAAGAGGTTAATGACTTCTTGAGTTTTGTCTCTGCCTGCCTGACAAGGAAGTATCGAAATGAACACTATGTCAGGGTCAACTTTATTTGTCAACTTAACTAGTTGTTGGGTCACATACCTGTCTAGGTATCTTTGTGAAGATATTTTTTAAGATAGGGTTAGCATTCAAGTCAGACTTTGAGTTAAAGCCCATCAGTCAAAGGGCTTAAGAGCAAAGACTGAATTTCCTAAAGAAGAGGCAATTCTTCCTCAAGATCGCAGCATAGAAACCCAGTGAGCGTTTCCAGTCTGAAGATTTCAGACTCAAGGCAGCAACATTAACTTCTTGCCTGACTTTTCAGTCTGCCAGGATGCAGATTTCTGACTTGTCCATAATCACATGAGCCAATTCCTTAAAATAAATCTCTCTCTATCTCTGTTTGTCTCTTTCTCAGTTCTTCATAGAAACAGAACAAATAGGATACATATACATACATATCCTACTTGTTCTGTTTCTATTTGTTCTGTTTCTGTAAAGAACCCTGAGTAATACACCCCTCAATTTGGGTTGACTTCTATTTTTGATAGACGCAAACATCATCATTCTCTGATGTTTCCTGAGACAGTTTTACCCTTTCCTTTCAGTTCCTACTGACAGCTCCTAACTCTGGCTCTGATGAATTCAATGGTTTCTGTTTCCATTCCACACAGTGCATTCAGAGGTTCTTCAATGATCCTACAGAGCACAGATGTTGCACCTACTGGGCCAACGTGTTTTGAGCCAAAACCAAATAATTGCAGTCATTTCATAATGTGGAGAAAAATTAATGATCAAAATTTGTCATTTTAAGCATTTCTCTCTCACAAACTTTTCTTAAATCTGGGTGCTTGTTACCACTTGTCTAGCTGGAATCTAGTTTATAAATATGAATGTAGGCCAAAATGATCTACTTAATTATTTTTAATTTAATTTATCAACATTTTGTGGTGTTCCAAAAAATCAAACATGCCCTCTGCCAGACAGTCTTGTGAGCCACTGTCCTAAAACACAGCTCTGATTTCATATCACTCCTCGCTTAAACACCCAGGAAGGCTCCCTATACCCTTCATTCAAAGGAGAGCCCAGGAGAGCTCCCATTGTACCTACAGCTCTGCCACAGGACCCTTCTTACTTCCTCTGGCCACATGGCTCCCCTGACCAACCCATTCTCTCTTGTGGACCAATCTCTTCAAATCCAGATTTCTCCTGAATTAGAAAACATTTTGACTTTTCCATTCTTGGAGATATAACAATACCTTCCCTTTGCCTGCATCTACTTTATTTGTCCAGACCCAACCATTTCATTCTCCTGGGAGAGAGGTTGGCCAACATAAGCGATAAAGCTCACGCTCTTCAAGACCGTACCGTCAGATTTCAAAGGGCTTGCTGCATGTCTTCCGCTGCCCTCGGGGCCCTGATCCTGCATCCAGGTTGTGTTTGGTTGTGTTTAGGTCGTCTCTCCCTTTGAGATGATCCCTTCTCCTATTTCTTCTATCCCTTCTCCTGTCTTTGCCATTGTCTGAAGCTCAGTTGAAAAACCTCTTCTTTCCCCAACTACCCTTGTCCTAAGTTATCCTTTCTTCCCCACCTTCCTCTCTGTAGCCTCTAACGGCTCTCCAGACATGTCCTGTTTGGCAGATATGTGAGTGTGGCTTTTCTCCTCTACTAGTATCTGCTACAACAATCTAACCTGATACTTTATTAACTCTTTTCTTTACCAAAGTTTGTTTAATCAGGTATTCTGAACCCACAAAGGAATAAATTACTGTACACAAATAAAGTCAATTTGACAAGTAATTGCACCAAAGAAACAAAATTATAAACTTTCAAATTAATTGGTGAGTGACTTACCTGGAAGCCAATGACTAACTCTTGGTGGTTTTTGTCTTGTTAAGAAGGCAAAAAATTAAAGTGTCATTTGTCCTCAGGCATTTCCTGGCCACATGCCCATTCATATTCTGACAGCATATTGGCTTTGACTGCAAATTCGGAGGCTTGGTGGTCAGCCTCCTTATGGTGCAGATGAGGAAACTCAGGTACCGAGAGGGGCGGTGACTTGCTCAAGAGCATGGAAGCGTCATTGCAGAGTCTCTTAAACCAGCCTTATACTGGATTTATTGCTAATCATTCCCCTTTTAAAGGTATGGATATGTAGCTTACTTCTATGTTTCTTTAAAATTAAGAGTAACTGCCAATGCCCTGCCCCTGAGCTGCCCTTTTCCCTTACAAACAGGTTAAGCCACAAGAGGCATTACACTACAAAGATGGAGAGAGCCTTCCACCCTTACCCTCCTTTCAAAGCCTTCCCCACTCTTCACTCTAATTTCTGAAATCCCACAGCTAGAGAGTCACTCCTTTGCTGCCTCCGATTAGAACGCAAACACGACAGATAACAGGGGCAACCGAGTCTCACAAGTCTTCAATGTCAATGCCTTATTGTGAATGTTGTTATCAGATCCCTTCCTCACATTGCCAAAGGGCGAGCGAAGATGCCATGAGACAGAAAAGACCAAGGAGAGGGTAGAACCTAAAAGACACACTTGGTAACTTATGACTTGGAGCTTGGGGCTATCTCTGTGGAAAGAGACTGACTCCTGGTAATATGATGTGTCTTCCTTCCCTTTGGCCCCCAGTACAGGTGAGTTATTTCAAACATGGGCTTTACTGAAACTTGCCTGTTATTTCAAAGCAGCACTTTCCACATATGTATTTGATTTTCTTTCTTTTCTTTTCTTCTTCTTTTTTTTTTTTTTAACCTAGCAGGGCTAGAAAAGATGCAGATGAGATGGAGTGAATTTTTATTTTTTAATTTCAGAGAGGAAGGGAGAGGGAGAAGGAGAGAGAGAGAGAGAGAGAGAGAGAGAGAGAGAGAGAGAGAGAGAGAGAACACATCAATAATGAGAAAGAATCACTGATTGACTGACCTCTGCACTCCCTAAAGAGAGAGAGAGAGAAATTAATAATGAGAGAGAATCACTGATTGACTCCCTCTGCACTCCCTGAACTGGGGACTGAGCCCACAACCCGAGCATGTGCCCCATCCAGGAATTGAACTGTGACCTCCTGGTACACGGGTCAATGCTCAACTACTGAGTCACACTGGTTGGGCAGGGATGGGGCAAATTTTTAAAGGTGGGATTGGTAGAGGACAGAGGGCATAGTAGCAGCTGTCCACTTCAGAAATGACATTGCCTCCTAGTGCAAGCATGCAGCTCATCTCAAAATGTTTTCCACATAAGGAATAGTTCCTGGTGAACCCAACCCCATAGGAAACTGCCCGGTGGCCTGGCATGAAGATACTCTATTTTTAATTACTCAACAACCGGGGAGTTCTTTTGTTCTGAGGACTCCCCGGCTGTAGTTTGTGTTTTTTTTTTCCTGTTTTTTTTCTTGTGACTTCATTCAGTTGTTATATTATTCATATCCATAGCGTTGATGTTTCCAGACACATTGAAAAGGTCTAAAAACCATCGATTACTCACTACACAAATCAATTTTCAAAGAATGAGAGAGACTCACCCACACGAGTGAGGTCATTTTTTTCTTTTCCCAAATTCATTACCTCTTGTCCTCACCTACGTTTATTGGACCAAATAATACCGACCACACCTCAAACTCTATTTCATGCGAGAGAAATTTGGATTAACAAAAGAAAATAAAAGGAGAGATAGGAAAGCGAGAAACACAATGTGTTGTTGCCTTAGCCCGGAGTCTGAAACCAGGAACAAGAGGAGACAGTGGTTATGACTTAGAGGTGAGACTAAAAACGGGTGTGGAGGTTTGCTCTCAATCGCTGGTCTATTCAGTGTAGGGTGGGATGAGTCCCTGGGAATGAAAAGAGGTGCTTGCTCCCGGCCAGGACACCCACAGATCACAGCACCTTTGTTTTTCTCCTTTAAAACTCTAAATCTGCTCTCACCAAAATGATACCTAGTAGCAACAAGTAGCTACTAAAATTCAAAGGATTTCAATAAATAAGAATTCAGGTCTTTATCTGGGCTAGCCACATCGCAAGTGCCCAGTAGTGGTGGGACAAAAGTGGGTTCATAGTAGTGAGTACACGAAACCCAAGAGTTTATCCTATTATTATTGTTTACTCATTATTGTATTCTTTTCCATAGAAGCAACTGTAAACCCACTTTTGCCCCACCCTGTGTATTTAGGACCTGTAGATTCTTGTGGATCAACTAATTAAGGAAGAATATAAATGACATTGCATAGATAAAGCAAATTTGTTGGCTTATTTCAAAGGACACATTTATTAAACAGAATTGTTTGTGGAGAAGAAACCTGAGTAAGTTATTTCACAAACCCCGTTCCAAATGGGCAGAGCCAAATGATTTCTGACAAGGAGACCAGAACACTGTCTCTGCCAGGCTAAGGGGCTGATTATTCAGAACATGAGCAGTTTACTCAGAGGTTCTTTTCCTCTTCTGACTCCACGAGGAAACGGGGGTCCACAAAGGTGTCTGTCTGAGCTTTAATCAGGGATCCCGGTTCTCCCAGCGTTCTTGGATTTTCCTTAGTCTTTCTGTCAGGACATTTGAGGTAGAAATCAGAGTGGAGGGATAACAGCTCCGGAATAAGTTTAATCTTAGTTCTGAGCCCTGGGCAATACCCAAAGAGTTCCAGAAAGCAATTTGTATAGTTGAAAGTAAAGGGAACAGAACAGTCACAATGTTCTAAATTACAAAAAAAAAAAGACAGTAAATTAACTCCTCCCTTTCCAGACTGCTGGCTGCCCTCCTGAGAAAGCAGCCCAAACACAGAGAGCCCAGCTGCCTTCCCTGCAAAGTGAAATTATTTTACTCACGGTGCCCTCGCCGCCCTCGCTGCCTCTTCCTCCGGGTGCTGTGCTGGCCCAGTCTGCAAGCCCAGCTGGCCGGAGGCGCTTTAAAACCCAACAGCAATTCTTTGAACCTTCAGGACCAGGGAAGGATGGTCTGTGATTGGGAGGAGGCATCTCACATGGGCTGAGCCTGATGCGGCCTGAGCCTGCCTCCAGGTGGAAAGTTGGAAAGTAACAGGAAGTCTCCTGTCAGTAGATGTCTGTCTGCTGCTTTGAAATGTGTGATTCTGACTTAGGAGAGCATATCCCTCCTCTGGACACTCCCCGTGTCCCGGCTTCCCTCAAACATCCTCTCAAGACTTTTGTTTTTATGTTGGTTTGATTTGTTTTTATTAGTGTGATTTGATCCTTTATTCTGTTTTCTATGCATTAAAAGGCCTATCTGTTGCTCTGACTGCTCACAGTCAGGTGTGTTCACGTGTATCTGTCTAGGGTCACATCGAGTTTGGCTTTTGTAACTCGCATCTGCTATGTTTATGGGGATAGTCCTTGCCCAAGTAATGCTCACACTGAGGCAGCCCAAAGACTGAGGGGCAAGAGATCTGGGAATCAAAAGACTGGGAGAAATTTAGGCACAGAGAGAGTGCTCAAGTAATTATCCGATAATGTCTAATTCCTCCCACCTGTTCCCTCACCTCCAACCTTCCTCTGGACCCACTGTGCCTATACACAGCACCAACAATATTTGAACAAAAACCCCCACCTTTTTAAAAAATGTATTTTTATTGATTTCAGAGAGGAAGGGAGAGAAAGAGATGGAAACATCAATAATGAGAGATAATCATTGATTGGCTGCCTCCTGCATGCCCCACAATGGGGATCCAGCCCACAACCCAAGCATATGCCGACTGGGAATCAAACCATGACCTCCTTGTTCATAGGTTGACACTCAACCACTGAGCCACGCTGGCCTGGTGAAACCACATTTCTTTTAGTGGCTGCTTAACATATCATGGTACACACGCATATTTATTTTGCCTGGCTCAACAGTGGGTAATGACAGTGATGTTAGAATTCACAGGGTGCTTTAATCCATAGATTTGGGATTTCTCGTGGGTCAGGACCATCTCTGTAACAGGTTGGATATTTCAGGAAGCCAACTCTGAGACAGAGTTTAGTGTGCAGTCTATTTATTTGGGATTAAACCCCCATGGAAAGGAGAGGGGAGAACTGGCATTGGGCAGAGAGGGCAGTCCAGCTGCCATCCAGGTGGGACAGGCTCAGGCTGCACCCATCCCTGAACCCCAGGAAACTGCTGCAGTTGCTCTGCATCGGGCCTCTCTGTGGTCAGTCTTCATTTAGGGGTGGCCCTGGGAGGGGGCCTCTGTGGCTGAGGCAATCCCTGGAGGGCGCTGACAGTGGAGGTGGGGGCTGCTGGTGTTTCAGCAGCTGGGCAGCACGTTCCCACTGAGGGGGCTGCGCAGGGCCCTAGTCTCTGTGTCCATCACAGGCCTTGTTCCTCCTCACCTCTCCAGGACCATGATGCACACAATGGAATTCTGTGCAATTGTGATGAAAAAAGATACCACAGACATATGTTTAATGGAAGAAAATATGTGCACTCATTTATTCAACAAATATTTATTGAAAAGTTATGATATATCAAACATTCCTCTAAGTGCTAAGAGTGAAAAAAGCAGGTTGCAAAATAGTTTGTATAATCAATACACTTATTTTTTTAAAAGTGTACTTATGTGTAAATGAATGAAAAAGTTAGGAAGAACGGAAATGTTAACAAGGTTATTTATATCTGGAGAATGTGATGTGGATGGCTTTTCTTTTTGTTTTGTAGTTCCTGTGTTTACATTATAATGATAAAAAGGAAATATGTAAGTTACTTAAAACATACGCTTGGAAATCTTTGTGGTAAAGTAGCAAGAAAGCAAACAAGGACATAACGTCTCCATTTACATCTTAGACTTTTTGTTCTGTTACCAGAACTATTAATATGTGGGGAGAAAAGAAACACGAACCTTTTCAAAACAGATAATGTGAACACAAAACACACAACAAGAAACTAGCTTGGGAAGGGAAGATGACTCTTCAGATAATAACTGCAAGTGGTTAGAGGAGGAATTTCAGGTCCTTTACATATAAATATGATTGGTTTATTCTTCAAACAATTGCTTTCTAATTGTGTTCTGCTAATCTCTTCTTTTCCTTAACCACTTCTTAACTCGATTCCAAAGTTCATGTCTCAATTCTCATGACGAGGAATCTCCGCTTAGTTAGAAAGACTTAGATATTTGCTTCCTATCACTGCAATTTAGATGTGAGACTCCAGTGGTTCAGGAGGTAAGGGTGGATTAAGGGAGGTGGTATTCTCCAAAAAAAAACCACCCTCCCCAATTTCCTGTATATACTGTGAGAGTGAAGCGATGCCATTTTATGTGATTGGCCTGGGACAGGGTGCTGTCTCTTCCTGTTGGTCATCAACACCTCCACCATTTGGCTCACCACCAGCAGCCTCGGTGTAGAAGGGGGTGGAGTGCAGGTCTGGCTGATGAGAGTTCTCACTATCCCCGGCCAGCTCTCCTAAACCCCAGAAGGTGCTCTGCCCCTTCATTGGTTTGCAGCCAGTTTATCCACCCTCTTAGACCCAAGTTCTCAGGCTGAATTCGTCTTCAGTCCATTTCAGGAACCTGGAACTAAAGAAAGGCATACTTGTCCCCTCTCTGCCTGGCCATACCATCGCACCATCACCCTCCAAAGCTGTCCTTCTCTGTGGTTGTTCCAAGACAATTTAACTGGCCTGGTGACTAATGTGATTTCTGACTGGGCCACAGGATGTTGATCTTGTACATACTTTCAACTTTCCAACCCTCGTGGGCTTTTCTCTCTCGTCTCTGGGACAAGGAACCACTGGAATATTTCTATTCATAAACACTGCACTCCCTAAGCAGACCCTTCACTTAAAATCCACTAGTGTTTTGTTTGTTTGTTTGTTTGTTTGTTTGTTTTATGAAAAGGGAAAAGGTTGTACTGTTGCCTGAGTGGAAAAGAGACAGCCCCACATCTAAAAGTTCTCCAAACTAGACGTGTAGTTTACACAATCCATTTTGCTTTAATCACCAGCTTCCAGAAAAAAAAATAAGATTCTCAAACCATGATGTTGCTTACCATGTTTTTAGTACTTTCTAAAAGACCCAGGCAGTGTCAGATTTACCCTTCACAATAGCCCTGTGAATTACATACTAATATTAAGCCCCATCTTACAGATGAGGAAGCTGGAGGTTGAGGAGGCTAACTTATCCATGGTCATGGAGCTATTTATAGGTAAAGACTTGTGTCGGCCGAAACAGGTTTGGCTCAGTGGATAGAGCGTCGGCCTGTGGACTGAAAGGTCAAGGGCATGTACTTTAGTTGTGGGCACATCCCCAGTAGGGGGTGTGCAGGAGGCGGCTAATTGATGACTCTCTCATCGATGTTTCTAACACTCCTCTCTCTTCCTCTCTGAAAAAAAAATCAATAAAATATATTAAAAACAAAAACAAAAAAAAACTTGGGTCATTCTGGCTTCACAGCCTACACTCAACTACTAAGCTGTATTCTGGGAGTGTAGTTAGACAACCAGTGTAACTCTTGAGTCTAAATGGTATAAAAGCTCAGTTTCCATATTAAAAGCTGCTGAGCAGAATCTGAAAATCATGTTCCTGATATGTTCCAGGTCCACATAGTTCTCTGGTGCCTCTGAAAACTGATTTTTCTCCAGCAGGCTTTGACTCTGCAAATTTTACTGAAATGTGCAAATTCAGATTGTTTCATCTTTCCTGGGCCCTTTCTCTTACTCAGTGATCCTTTAACTCAACATTCATTAGCATTCTCATATCCGCTTCAGTTCCTGTGGATGATAAATGCTTCACTTGGTTCATATTTTTAGATTATGGTCATCAAAAGAGGACATCTGAAAGCAAGGCTAGCCCTCTCCCAGGAAAGGGAGATGGCAGTATTAATAGACTCTTACACTTAAAAGGGACTTTAGCCCATTTTCATAATCATATATGGTCATTAAATGGAATTATATGGAATAACCATATTCCAATAAAATAACCAATTAGGCCAATTTTCCACCCAGTTGAGAAAGGGCTCTATTAATATCTTTGATGTCCAATATTAAGGGGCAAGTCTATGATAGTTGTGTTTATCAGAGAAATATTTTTGAGAATGTTGTGCACAATAGTGTATCCATCAGGTGTAAGAGATTCCAACACAAAACAGGATCTCTGGTCTCAATACTTGGAATGATCTTTATGATCTTACTTTCCCTAATCAACTGATTTGTTTTTATCTGTTGGACACTCCAGATAAAAACAAACAAACAAAAAAAGACAAAACAAAAACAAAACAACTTCAACAAAATTCAATCTTGCCTCCATTCTTTTTAAAAAAAATAAAACTTTATTTTTCAGATTATTATAATTGTTCCTCTTTCCCCCCGCCATGGCTCCCCTCCACCCCGTTCCCACCATGTCCTCATCCATAGGGGTATGATTTTTGTCCAGTGTCTTTCCACACCCCCACACCCCTTTCCCCCTGAGAATTTTTAGTCCACTCCCTTTCTATGTCCCTGATTCTATTATATTCACCAGTTTATTCTGTTCATCGGATTTTTTTATTCACTTGATTTTTAGATTCACTTATTGATAGATATGTATTTGTTGTTCATAATTTTTATCTTTACCTTTTTCTTCTTCTTCCCCTTCTTACAGAATACCTTTCAGCATTTCATATAATACTGCTTTAGTGGTGATAAACTCTTTAGCTTTTTCTTATCTGTGAAGTTCTTTATCCGACCTTCAATTCTGAATGATAGCTTTGCTGAGTAGAGTAATCTTGGTTGTAGTTCCTTGCTAATCATCACTTTGAATATTTCTTGCCATTCCCATCTGGCCTGTATAGTTTCTGTTGAGAAATCAGCTGACAATCATATGGGTGCTCCCTTGTAGGTAACTAACTTTTTCTCTTGCTGCTTTTAAGATTCTCTCTTTGTTTTTTGCTCTTGTCACTTTAAATATGATATGTCTTGGTGTGGTCCTCTTTGGATTCCTTTTTTTGGGGTTCTCAGTGCTTCCTGGACTTGTAAGACTATTTCTTCCAT